TTGACAAAAATCATTTTATATGATCTTACCAGAATTTATTTATGAATGAAGACAACAGAGGACTTTCAAGATCAGAATTTTCAAATGGATATTCCTTATTTCACTTCCATTTGTCACCTGACCTTTGTGATGGGTCTCATTTAGCTCTGTTTTGACATAGCAACTTAAGATTAGAAATAAAATTTGGTACTCCCTTACAACAAACTATTTCGTTATTAGTATAGTACAAGTTGAATTTGAAAATTTGATAGAAATCAATAAAGCTCGGAATATTTTGTATGACTCTGGAAACTGATGAATTCATCAGATTCACCCAAATCTTATCTCAAGATCCTATTTCTTTGAGGTATTATGTGGGTGTTTTCCCTTTTGAAAACAAACCCCTATAAATCAAAATTTTTTCTGTGCTCAGTACTGACCAACTCGATGAAGAATTAATTGGCTAGCTGTCTATATTCCAGACAAAGAGACTCTTTTAATTTTTTTACTCTTATGGACTCCCGTCTGAAGTATATGGAGATATCACATCATTTTTCAAGAAATATTGTCGTGTTCATTTGAACAAAATTTTGGTTCAGAGTTTAACTTCTAATGTAAGTAGACAATACTGCATTTAATTTATTAATAAACAATGTCAAAGAATCTGTACGGAACTCACTGTATCACCCTTAGCTGGGAAGAATGATGATTTCTGAACATTTCAGTTTGTAAAGAGAAAATATAATGTAAACATGGTTTAAAAAAAAAAAAAAAAACCTGTTTTAAATTGAAACAACTATTTGTCTCTGTTTCTTGTCTTTCTTTGCACTGTTTTCACACATATTTAAACAAAATAGGGCTTCAGTAATGTAGCTATGTTTCTAACATAAAAATCAACGATTGGACATTTTGGGGTATAAAAGAACTCTGCATAGATAGTGTGAGCATAGTTTGTAAAAAATCATGAAAGTGATGTATGTGTGTATTTAATTATGGCAAAGCACACTAGGGCTATCTGCCTAAGGGGAGGGATGCCTTTCGTGGAGGACTTTCTATGGAAACTGGCTCGTATACACGTTACACATGGGGAAAACCACGAAAACACCCATGCAGCCAGCCCGTTCGCGGGATTCGAACCGAACTACCAGTGTTCAGCGACTTTACCGCTCGGCCGCTGGTGGGCTCCATGAAAGTGAACATGGAAGAGCTAAGACACCAAGAAGTGTTGCTTTTTTTGTCTTGTGGATTTTATCAAGTATTGTTGTGATGGCTATCATACTTTAGACTCATTTGCAATGAACATCCAAACAAGATTTCAAGTGTCTTTAAAATAAAACAACATTTGAAGTTTAAAAAAAATATCAAATGATTGATTCAGTATTTTTTATAAAATGCCAAGAATTTCCAATTTTTTATTTAAATAAACACATATTGTGGAGAAACGATTTGTGATTACGTTCAAAACTCTTTACATGTTTTCAAAAATGACTGTTCAGAATTTAAGCAAAATATTGTTGATTGAATGAGTGAATGTTTTCTTGTTGGAAATGTACTTAAAGGCTGTTTAAAGATTTTCTGTAAAGAATAAAAGTCAATGATTTCTTAAAGGTTCTGTCATTTCTGAACATGGAACTGCCCAAGTTAGTACACCATTCCACTTGTCTTCCGAGCAGACCTACAAGTTCGGGAAAAAACGTATTTGTTATGAAATTGATAGATCATAAAACATTCCATTCTCTGCAGACCAATATTATTTACTGCAACAGAAATCATCAACTTCTTTTTAATTCAATACAAAATGTAAATTTTGAAGGAGGAGACCTAACCTGCAGAATCTCCAAAATGCTTTAATTATTACAATTTAATGACTGAACTAGCATGAAATACTCATTTAAGTAAATATTTTAGTCATTACTGAAAGCTTTGCCTTGATTAGCAAAAATATTTTATAACTCAAAATGTTTTTCTAATCAAGGCAAAGACATGAGTAACATTCATTTGAATTCTGATTACATTGTTTTATACGAAAATCCTACAGCTCAAAGTCAAGTCATGTGTTTAGCTAGACAAAAACTGAAACGTCGAGTCGTTAACATGTCTTCTCCAATCAAATTGATTGATTTTTAAGTCTTTCAATTGATGCCCCATTGTTACATTGTAAAAAAAATTAGCATCTTTTTCTGTGCATGAAGTATATCATAATTGCTTAACATTTTTACCTCCTCAACCTTGGAAAAATTTATCACTCTTTCAACAAAAGCCTTTTGCCTGGGTAACAAGAAACCATCATCACAGGAATTGGTATGATGGTGTATTACTTTATACTCATATTCGTATAGTTTTGTAAAAAATTTGACGTGAAAGGGTTAGAAAAGAAATTATTTTTAGGAAATTTATTATCTACAGATATAATTGAGTGTCCTAAGCTAGAAACTTTTTTTAAAAAATGTGTTCTTTAACATGCTCAGTTCATGCTAATGGATTTAATTGTTGTGTTTTAACCAAAAGGGCTGAATTTGCCACCTATATAAAAGAAAGTGTGCAGGAAAAAGAGGTCATTTATAATCAGAAGGATGTGGATTATTTAAAACTGTTAGGAAATAGTCGAACAAAAGCAGCTGTACTCAAAAAGTGCCCAAATCATCTAATCAGATTTGTTTTAAATCTTTTGAAAGGAAATGTACCCAACACAAAACACCTCAAAAATCGACTCTCCCCTTTTCGAAGAACTAGTGGACAAAAAGTACCTCTTTTTAAGAAAAGATGTCGTTTGGTTCAAAAAGGTGATGCTTTCTTAGCTTTCAGTAAGTGTCTTATCATCCCTTACACATGGAACATAATAACAAATTTGCTATGATAGCCCTGTATCATACACAGCGATTTGAATATAAACATTTGAGTGATTTAGATACACAAATTCAAAATATCTTAAAAAAGAAAATGGACGGTGAAGACAAGTTCTGCAAAATTATGTGACTTTTTCTCATGTCAATACTTCAGAAAAAAGCATCCGCTTGCACAACTTTCTGAGAAAGATATAGAAAAGGAAATTATGCACACAATTCCTGCGAAGCAGAAAAGAACAGCATAGAAAATACAGTCAAAAGTCTTTAATCCGGACTCGTTGGGACTTCGACCATTCCGGATTATCGATTTTTCCGGGTTATAGATCATCAGTTTAAATCTGGTAAGATGGCACGCAGAAATTATAAAATTAAAAATATGAAACCGTAATTAAAGAAATAAAAGAGCAATTATGATCTAAAGGGTATCAAAATTTACAAAAAAAAAAAAAAGCTTAATATTTATTTGTTTACTTTATTAAACATTTCTTTCAACGCGCGCATGCGTAAAGCATACATTACGCATAGTCGAAATTAGAAAATTGCGACCAGAAAACTATTTGATGTGTACTTGTGATATTTATAATGAAGAGGAATTAGATTTAAATCATATCTAAGACGGAATATATCAAGATGAAATAGTACTAAATTTAGTAAGGAATTATAAGCTGAATAAAATAAAAACATCTGCCCTGAAGATAAGGATAGTGCTGACAGATCAACTTCCAGTTCATTGCGCGCCGCGACGTCCCCCCCCACAGAGCAGTATGAAATTGATAAACATATTTCAGAATGGTTAGAGAAAAAAAGGATATGCCTTTATCCATTTTTTTGCAGCAATTCCATTTTTTGTTTTGATGGACATCGAAACATACTTTCGCTTTGTAGATCCTTTACATAGTAGTAAATATATATCGGAAATTCTATTTGACATAATCGAAAGTTCAAGCTTACTTTTATAAAATTGCTCTAACAATCTGCAAAAAATAATAAGCCGGATCCAATTCGAAGATTAAGGAACAACGCAATCTGAAACATTAACTGAAATAGATAATTAGATAATTTTAGCTTAGCTTATACCGTCCGTTATACATTAAACGCGCATGCGTCAACGTATTATGCGCATGCGTTGAGGTCCGGATTAATGACTTTTGACTGTAGCAGATTTTCTAAAACAACATCAGATTCCCTGGGCACAGAATAAAGAATTAATTCTGAAGAGTAATCTGCTTTCTGGCTCTGACATTGTTGAAATGATAAACTCTCTGTTGGAAAGTTGAACTCAATGACTTTTGCTTATGGATAATTTAAAGATGTACTGAATGTTAATAATTTTCCTTAAAAAAATAAGTGCTTAACAAAGGTAACTTTGAAGTATTATTAAAAATAATGGCTGATCATTTGTGTTAAATTTTTTCTGATATGGGAACAAACTTGCCAGATTTAAAGCATTTAATAGATTTAGTGACGGACATTAAGCTATCAAAACCACCCTATAGAAAATATACAAGGTACATTCTTTGCAATAAATTTCATTTGGAAATGTTTTAAGTTCAGTACTGCAAAGTTCTGTAAATATTTTGAAGTCATTGAATTGCACTGCTTTTGTGTATTGTTGTATATTTTAGCTATTTGTCGCATTTTATGCAACAATTTTAATGCATATTTATTTTAGAGTAATTAAATTTAAAGCCATTTGTAGATGTTTATTTCTTGAATAAAATTGCTGACTCTGTGATTTTAAATCGATCAGCTTGTGAAAATAGCTGAATTAGAATATGATATATAGACTGAAATTCTCTTGACAGGCAGTGAATTTTGAAAAATGTATATTTGAAACTGTATTAGCGATTTTTCCCAAATCTTCAAGAAAACTAGGCAACACTATATAAATTTGGATCTGACAACCAGTAGTAAATCACTTCAGAGAGTAGCACAGGTCAAAGAGCTAGCTGAGGGAATTGTGAAGAGTTTTTAGAGTTTACTTTGCAAGTGATATTGATAACCTATGATATTTCACATGTGCTAAGGAGAATGTGCCTTATCTCAGTGTTCTCCTTAAGCTGTTTAAACTATTATTTGGTTGTGTACGGTCATTAATTACAAAGTACTGTCAAACAGTTTTTTCCCTGCTTATTTGTCGTAATTATCGAAAAGGTCTTCACAAATACATGGCTTGCAACAGTATTTAATATTCTTATCAAACATAACAATACAAATTAAAATTTATAAAGTTAAAAAATAAATGTCAAAGTTAAAACTTACAGAGATAAAAATTTTTAGTTCAATTCTAGAAATGAAACTTAGAGTAGGAAATGTAACTTTGTACAAACGTAGATTCTCAAAATATAATAATAATGAAAAGTTTGCCAAAATTTTTATAGATAAGTTTTACAATCAGCAATAAATCAATACAGAAGTCTAGTTCATATAAATCACTTTGCAAGTTTTCTGAACCATCATATAATGATGATGTTGTTCATCATATAATGATACAGAAGTTGTTCTTCATGATATTTTCCATCAACGTATACTTTGGATTCACACAAGAAAACTCAAACTTCCGTATAAAGTATCCCTGGAATGTATAGTTGCTAACTGATGAATTCTGCACACATTTTCAATGTTGAGATCAGATTTGAGAAAAGACGAGCATTTTTTCTTCAGTGCATATCACAAAAAGTTGCTTAGCTATTTATTCAATGTTTTTTTACTAATTACCGATATACATATGGAATGAATTTGTCCATTACCTTAGGGTAAATATCTGTGGAATTACAGTAGGCCCTCAGAGCACATCCTATAGATTTCCTTACAGAATTTATGCACAGGAAACCCAACAACAGTATAATAATTTCCTTCAATACTTTCAATTAAGGTGCCTCCTAGGCGTTCTATAGCATATCCACCAACATTGGCCCTATAAAAAGAAATAAATTTAGGCTAGTTACTATCACATCCTTTTCAGAAAATATATTTTAAAACACCAAAACAAATGAACAGTTCCCAGGTATTGTTTGATAAAAATGCATACCTGCCTACCTCCTAAGAGTAAAAAATCAGAATACTTTTGGAAAAAATTCAGAATGCCATAAAATGTAAATTAAAGAAAAGGATACATTACATTTATACTATTAGGAAAATAAAACTCACATAAATTCATTTTAACATACTCAGAGTGGCTGAATTTGCTTTTGTTATAAAGGAATAAGAAAAATCCAGCTTCACAGCATTGATATTTTCGACTTGGATGCTTACTGTTGACAGTCATGATATTCTTAAGAGTTCATGTTGTTATAGAGGAGCAGGACTGATATTTTTAAAATTTGCATTTGACATATAAATTTTTGAACAATGCTAAAAATGCACTTATACTCCACACTGCTGTGAAGAGAAGTTAATGAAGCTTTCTGAAAAAAGGAAAAAAAGGACACATTACATTTACATAATTAGAAAAATAAAACTCACAAATTAATTTTAACACACTCAGCTGAATTTGCTTTTGTTAAAAAGAAATAAGAAAATTCAGCTTCATAGCATTAATATTTTTGACTTAGATGCTTATTGTTGACAGTCATGATATCCTTAAGAGCTTTTGTTGTTATATAGGAGCAAGACTGATATTTTTAAAATTTGTATTTGACATATTCATTTTTGAGCAATGCTAAAAATGCACTTATACTCCCCACTGTGGTGAAGTGAGGTTAATGAAGCTTTCAGAATTTTAGCAAGATTCCTATTTAGGAATTTCATCTAATGTACAGATCCTTCCTATGAAATTATATGACACCATACCACAATGTTCTGGCTGTAACAATTCAAATTCTTCACACTTGACTATTGTTAATTATTTCTACAATTCATTGTATGCTACATCATTATTCTCTCCAGCCTTTATTGAGCAGAAATGGAAATTTGACCAAGAAATATTGAACACTAATAAAAGAATTATTACTTTCTTTTAAATTAGTGAGTGCTGTAAAAAGTTATATTTTACTTTTCAGTTTTCTAATAATATAATTAGATGCATTTTTAAAATACTACTAAACAGATGCAAAAAAATCTTTTTTCTCATTATGTTTTAATTTTTTTTAAGCAATTCAAAAGTATAATTTCTAATAAACAAATTTTTAATTTTTATCTTTCTGATTTCCCAAATGATGTTAAGGAATTTCTATCAAATTTATTAAGTCCTCGCAATAATATCCCAAGCAATTTATTCGAAATGAGAATCTTTGGTTAAGCAAACTGTAGATATATATTTAATTCATCAAAATCAGGAACAGATAATAATAAACAAATTAAAAAGTGAAATAAAAAAACCTTAAAAGGTTCAGGTTAGATGAAAGAAAATCAAAGATCTTTCCTTTTTTACATAAATATATTTCTTCATTCTTCTTTTGAAGGATTTCTTCGTCCAGTTTTATTCTCTCGAAAAACAAAAGTTCACTCTGTCATGCTATTTTGCCTTTATCAATAGTTCTGAACTCGTAATTTAAGTTTACTTCATGTAAAAAACTTACAATGGATTCAACTGTTCTATATTAGCATTTTTAGCTCTTTACCAAGAGACAGCGGTACCCCCCCCCCACATGTATTTTTCTTACTCCTTTCTCATGATGAAATTGCTAGAAAGTTTTTAAATGCGTTTCATTAGCATTTTTTCTTAAGTGCTAGAATATATCGACTAAAATTTGATCTATGTTTACCGGTAATGTAGCGGATGAATTTTTTTGCTGTTAAATGCATAAAATAACATGGGTAAGCCATAAAGATTCATTTCTTTTGGCACTTTTCAGGAAGTCTGCCATACCTTTAAAATGATTAGTCATAATGGATGCATTATCTTCAGAGAAAAAATACAGTTTGATATGGGAATATTGAATTTAGTCAATTTATTAGCAATCATCATTGAAATATACTGACATGCTGAGTTACTACTAATTAAATTAGGAAGCCACAGAACAATACTACTTTAATCTTTTGCCTCATTAAAAATAGTTTACAACAACTGGATGCAAATCACATTCATTATTTCCATAAACAAAGAGGAGAAGGAAGATTTATGAAAATTATTTATGAGGCGTTTCTCATGAACATTTGCCATCTTACTAAGAATGAAGAAGTTTTTGTTCTAGAATTAATATTTCTTTCCAGCATTTGAATCAGGAAGCATCTTCTTAAACAGAGGATCAATATGATCCACAGCATTCAAATTAATGTTGTGCTCAGTCAAAAGCTGAGAAAGCAAACACTTAACCTAGGTAACACTAAATTCAGAATCAAGCAGATTTATTTGAATAATTTGCCACCTTTGACATTTAACCAAATTTGCACAATTTATGTTTTTCTTATGTGAGATTTTTCCTAATGGCTTTTTTCCACCTAGAGATAATATTCCCCACATAAAAATAGACAATATATAAAAATATAAAATTGCTCTCCACACGTTATAAAATGCATAAGTATTTTAATTTCATGATTCTTTAATACACAGAAACTCATCTCTGTAAGCTAGTTTAAAATACTGGGAAATTTCGTTTTTACGCATTTTACCAAGCAAATTTTATCAAACCACATGTAGGCAATATGTCACTAATTTATACACTTTTCCTCTGCTAATTCAGATCAGGTTTCAAGGCCGACTTAAAGTAATTTTGGCTCCTTTCCATTTAAAAAAAGAAAAGTTACAAATTTTGAAACAATAAGGTGGAAGAATATACGTTTTTGATTTTATATAACTTTATTAATTATTGAAATTTAAATGACACCGTGATAGCTACAGTATACTATTTCAAAAAACCTGCAGAGAAATTCACAAACCACCAATTCAAATTAAGACACAATAACACGCCGAATAAATACTAATTCAGAAGTCAAACAACAAAAACGTGCACGTGGTTTTTTTGCACGTGGTGTGGCCGCCATTTTGTGATTGTAGGAGTTTCGGTGAGTACATTTTTGCAATTTTCAAGTTATGTTTATGTTGTACATTTGGATATTGTGCTTTGCTTGTCTGATTTCATGCATTTTGCTTACAAACATTTTGTTTTCTATTCATTTCAGTGAGGGATTTTTCTGCTATTTTGTGTGTACTTTATTATTGCTCAGTTAATTTAGTTTGATTTTCTGCATTGTTTATCATGCCTTCATCCGTTAATCGTTTCACTAAATTACGCCTGAAACGGCAAAAATTCCTGAATCATCTTGACTTTTTACTTAAATGTAAATGTAAAAAATTGATCCCCAATTTTATTCAAATCAATCTAATCAAAAACCTTCGAGTCGCGTTTCAAGAATTGTTAAATTGCAAACTTGCCTTACTTCGATCCGTGATAAGGGATACACGTCAACAATTGTCCAAAATTGAACATGAACTCTATAAGCTTCATCTGGAACTCGCTAAAACATATCCAAAATTCACTGCCCTTGAACAAAAGTCTTGGTCTAGAACGGAGAATGCAGTTAACCGTCATAAAAACACCCTTGCAGTTAAATTCGAAAAACTTCTTTTACAGTCTTCCAGTTCAAGTAGTTCAAAAAATCTTCCCATTGTAAACATCAAGCCAATAGTTAATATTTCTAATGTTAGTCTTTCAGAAGAACAAGAGAGAATTCTAAAATATAATTTTAACTTCTCACAAACCTGTAAACCCTCGATTCCAAAGATTTTGGCTTTTATCGAAAAAGCTTTCAAGTTCAGTAAAGTTTCAGATTCACAGAAAGAAATGATTAGGCATCTTATCGCTCATAATGTGAAATTCAATAATAAACCTTTGAAACCAAATCTAACTGCGAGAGAAAGAGCTACAATGCGCGAGATTCATTCTAACCCGGATATTGTCATTTCAAAGGCCGACAAAGGTGGCAGATAGTCGTCATGGATAAGAACACTTACATCGATGGTGTCACTAAACTCTTAAACGAAGGACCATATAATCCGATCCCTAAAGATCCTTCACCTTTGGACTTATCCAAAATAAAAACTGCGATCAAATCTTCGCAAATCATTTCAAGCAACTTAAAACATTCGCTTATCCCATCTGTTGCGAATTGTGCCAGATTATATGCTCTTCCCAAAATTCATAAAAGTGGTATTCCTTTCCGCCCTATTGTATCAAATTTAGGTACTGCCTCGTATCCATTAGCTAAATATTTAGTTTCTAGATTTTCCACTCTATTAGACAATAACATTTACACCATAAAAAATTCAATAGAGTTTGTAAAAAAGGTTTAAAACATTTCTCCTCGTAATTTACTCATGGTTTCTTTTGATGTAAAATCATTATTCACCAATGTCCCAGTGGAGGGTGCATTAAGATGTCTAGAAACCAGACTTCGCGAATTTCATTTCTCTTGCATCGAAATTGATGAGCTAATTTCTCTCACTCAACTCTGTTTGAAACAAACACATTTTTTTTTCCAAAATAAATATTACAAGCAAACTGAGGGATTAGCCATGGGAAGCCCCCTCAGTCCCATCCTGGCTGATATCTACATGCATTATTATGAATCAAAATTGTTTGAAACTTTAAACTTCCCGGCATGGTTCCGCTACGTAGACGATACTTTTACCCTGTTTGAAGGTAATAAAGATGATTATTTAAATAAGAGTTCTTTCAACAATGAATTCTATTGATCCTGCTATTCAGTTCACTTTTGAACTTGAGACTTGCAATTCTCTTCCGTTTCTCGACATTCTGGTCACACACGTAACACATCCAACTTCAGTACTACAGTTTACCGTAAACCTTCATCGGTTTGCCTTCCACCACACTTTAAATCATGTCATCCGACTAAACAAAAGTTAGCTTCATTTTATTCCTATGTTTTCCGTGCTCTTCAAGTTTGCTCCTCCAAACTAGCCCTTGATGAAGAACTAAATTATTTAAAAGCAATAGCTATTGACAGGGGCTTTTCACCCAACATTATTAATCAAGCAGTTAAAAAATTCTCATCTCAACACACTAAAAGCCACACTCTTATTTTAGGAGATTATAAAAATTCTGTTGTCATTCCCTTCTTTCCATCAATTAGCTATAAAGTTGCACATATTTTGCAGAAATTTAACTTTCGGGTTGTTTATTCTCCCATCAATAAAATTCCAACTTCTATACTCAAGGACCCCATTCCGGATATGAATTCCTGGGGTATTTATAGGATTCCTTGCCAGTGTGGTTTAATTTACATTGGCCAAACTAAGAGAGCCTTAAAATTTCGCGTCAAAGAACATGAGGCATATGTTAGAAAAAAGGAAACACAGAAGTCTTCTGTTGCTCAACATTGTTGGTCCGAAAATCACACTTTCAATTTTTCTGCTGCCAAAATTATTCAAAAAACATCTTCCATTGGAGAACTGGATTTTCTAGAGGCATTTCACATTCATAAAAATCTTTCTGTTCTAGTTAACGATCCTAATTCCAATCCAAATTTGCCTTCGGCTTTTAGAGAAATTATGTTTTAGTTCTGGTTTCGCCAACAGATGGCGCCACTTGCTTATTCTTGTCCAGGCTTTCTTATCTTATCTAAACATTATTTCCTATCTTGTTCATTTGCGGTTTTGCAGCTGAAGATGATGGTTCGGTAAAACCATCGAAACTAGTCCTGTGAAAATTTTGTAAATTAACGCTGATTTTTGTTGTTTGACTTCTGAATTAGCACCAATTCAAATGTTGACAACATAAACCTGTTTTAAAGTTGGAAAAATAGCGATTGCGATTAATGGCCAAAACTAGTAATGCAGAGCATCAGAATGTGGAAGTGATTAAATGCTGCAAAATTTTTTCCTTGCAAAAAGGTGCGGTCAACCAACAGCAAGAATTTTGAAAGAAATGAATGAATGTAGTCTGAAAAATTAGAAGTGCATTAAAAACAGAGAAAGGCAATCAGCCTTGTTTTATTCAGCTGACTGACAGAATTGTTACTATAGCAGGTAATTACAAAATACTACAGCACAAAAAAGTGAAGTGATTAGGAAGGACCAAAGAATTTACAACTGGGATAATTAGCTATACCTATTAAAGAGCCAGCACAAATTTCGAGGACAGCTCAAAATCTTTAATATTTTCTTCCCTACATATGTTTATGCAATGCAAACATAGTTCCTAACCTAAAAAATGGTGCTCATTGATATGAAAAATGGCACTGAGAGTTTTAGGCAGAATAATCAACAGATTCATTTTGAAGTGCCAAACATTGGTGGTGTCTACAAACTGGCAAATGCCAGTTTGTAGACTAAAGTAGCTGCATTTCAAGCTCTAATTTTTTTTTTAAATTCCTATTGACCATAAATAAATATTGCTACTAATTCTCCTACTTTTGCATTGCATGTGAGATAACTTTCAGTCAGATGTTTACATTAAAAATTCAATAAATATTCTTTTTTGGACTTCTGTCCTATCTCTGACTTACTGTTCTTAAATGCACTGTCCATTTGATGGAAAGGATGCTGCATTCTGTTTTAAACTTGAAAGTCAGCAAAGTAGAGATTAGGTACTGAGCGCCACCTGAGATAACCACTGACCGGACTTTGTTGCAAAAGTCTTACGGTGTTAATATTCATCCTGGCAGAAGGGATTATTTTTTCCGTATAAAAATATAAATATTACGTGGGCATAAAAGGCCTGTGCATAAACATAGATATGTTAGTTACAGACATAGACATTGTCTTGTACAAGTTACATGTGACAGTTAAATATAATCATGACAGTTATGTGCACATTTAAACATTATCTGATTTCATATTTATAATACTTTTACTGAGATAGTCAAAGTAAGCTTGTAATTCATTTACACATTCACTGGATTTTCTGTGTCATTTTTAGCTGGTTTACAACATTATTCTTAACAAGTACATACAAAAGAGATGGTAATAAGCTTACATTACAATATTTGTGCTCTTAAGCGCCGTTCCTACTGGGGTTTATCTGAGCTAACGGAGTCAGTTTCCTGTGTCGACTAGCTCCGCTGTGCCTGCAGTTCAGATTTTTCAACTTGCTGCTCTATGGGGAAAAACTGGTTTTGGGGATGGGTCGACTGCGTTAGTTGTGTTCGTTAGCACAGATAAACCCCAGTGGGAACGGACCTTTACAGTCCTGTTACTATTGTACGGGGTGAGCTATTTTGCTAATGTTGATTCTCAGTTTTTGAGTACTATCTGGCTTAAACTGGGTAGGGAGTTACGTGACTAATTTTTGTGGTACTTTAGTTGAATTGCTTGGAAAAGTTGCAACTGCTATTAAAGTTGTAGTACCTATCAAGGGAGTATCTTTGTTACTCTTCAGTTACTTGGATATTACTGCAAGAGACAACTACACTAATCTGCTGCTCTAATATCTGCGAGTTGTCAGTTCAATGTACTCCATTTCTGTAAGGCCTATCCCCCACCGCTTTGATTTGCTATTGAAATTATGCTGTGAAGACACAATCCTCAAGGGAGGGGGAGAATTTCTTAGCACCTTCCTGAGCATAGCCTGATCACCTCCTCTATCGTATCTTAGTTTTTGCCTGCTTATTGCCGTAGGTATTCTCTGCCCATTGCGGCTGCTTGGCATTTTTAAATGCAATTTATCGGTGTGTGGGCAGTTGAAGAGGTAGTGATCTGCATCACCTACAGCATCACATTCACACAATTCTGAGATTCATTTGCCAAATCTCTTAAGATAATGTGAGAAGGAACCATGGCCAGTGTAGAATTGAGTTTGTGCACCGCTGGTATGTTTTAATTGAGCATGTAACTTTTGGAAAGAACTTGTAGGTTCTCTCTGTGCTTTCCCTTTCCCATCTTTCTGCCCTTCTTGTAAAAGGCTACTGAGCATGATTTTTTTAAACAGGACTGCGGCACACTTACTGCATTTTACAGTCTACTGGAGTCATTGGCTGCAGATTTTGCAAGCAAGTATGCCGCTTTGTTGCCAGTAATACCCACATCAGCTGGAATCCAGATCAGGTTAGGTCTGTCATCTGGTGGGATCTTTAGAAGAATTTTCTGTATATTTTGCACCAAAGGACTCCTTGTCTTATGCCCTCGAATGGACTTCAAACTTGAGGCAGAGTTATTACATATATTTTTTGTTCCTAATTGAGGGCTCCTTTTAATGCAAGAAGCTCCGTCTGAAAGACGGTATTTTTGTCGCCCAATCATCATTCCCAAGTATTAACAACTTCTCCTTCTTGAAGTACACAGTAGGCACAGCCTGCACCCTTCTCCGTCTTTGAGTCTGCTTTCTCATTTGGCGGTATTCATTGCAGGTGTACTGTGTGCGATAAGTCTGTATCTGCAGGGTGTCCAAGCATGATCGGCTTGCGCTTCTTATAGTCTGTGTGGTAGAATGACCTCTGCCACAAGAGAGATGTTGTTTTCCAGGCGCAATATCCTTACTAATAATGATCTCTCCACTAGACGGTCCAACGGAGGGATACCCGCCAGTACTTGCAGTGATGCAGTTGGGGATGTTCTATAACCTTTGCATATTATCAAAAGTTGCATTCTTTGGATGGTAAGAAGCTGCCTCCTCATATGGGCAGTGAGCTTCTTTCCCCATTTGGCAGCCCCATATAATATGATTTTTTCTTAGATTGTTCTGTATCAGCTTTGGAGCATAGTGATTAGTGTCCCAATAAGGTTCTGTTGTTCTAACCATGGAATTGCTAAGCTGATTTACTTTCTGCGTAAGCTCTTTAATGTGAGGTACCCAGGAAAGCATATTGTTAATTGTAATACCTAAGTATTTAAGATGGGTGACTTCTTTTATAGAGACTCCATTTAACGATGTTGGGATTCCTATTTTGCACTCTATGGCTGCATATAAACAGTTGTTTAGTTTTATCTGCTGAGATATTTAATTTGTGCTGATTTGGCCAGCTTGCAAAAGTATTGATCGCCTTTTGTACCTTTATCCATGCTACCAGAAATGACCAATAAAAAGTAGTCCGTGTATGCCTGGATACCCACTGTAGCCTCTTCTATAACTAAGCGTTCATATACTGCCATCTGAATTTGAGTTGAATATAATGCTTGTTCTTATAAGATAATGCTGTTCTAAAAAATACACTATACCAAATTTTCATTAAATTCAATATCAAATAATTATGAATTCTGCCACTACCAATGTGTAGCTTAAGTTTAAAATTAGCAAAAACCTTATTTTAATATTTCCTACTGTCTAAAACTAAGCAATGGATGTCATGGCTTTTTTGAACTACTAGTAGTTTATGAAAAAGTTACAGAATGCTCACCATGGTTTTGGATTTTCAAAATAAGCCTCTATTACATCAGGAGGAAGGCTTCCGAAAGTTACCTTTGCTGTCTCATAAAATGTCTCAATTTGATGATTCTTAACACCTATAAAACAGATAAAGCAAACATACTCACACACAAAAAGTATGATTTAGAAATCCCTAATTTTTAGTTGTTTGTCTGATATGATAAATTAATAAGAGAAAATTCCTGCAAGAAATTCATGACTGAAAATGGTGGTTCATATAAATATAGATACGTCAACATTTAAATATAGTAAAATTTGCAAAATATAGAGTTTAATGAATACACTCTGATAATGGAGAGATGAGGCCATGTTTAGAAACAAGCTTTAACTGACCCCCCCCAAATTTTTGTAGTTTTATTTCAGCTCAGAAAGACACTAACAAACACTGACTTTATGACTATTCATTTACATCGGGGGCACCCTGTACATTCGGTAACAAAATTATTGGGTTCTAAAAGACAATTCATGCAATGGCCAAAAAAAATTACTCTTGAAAAAACTTTTGGGTTTCTATTATAATTCTGTAAATAAATAATAAACTAAAATAAAAATAAATAAAATAAAAATTGCATTAAAAAAGAGTTGATGACTGCTCAATGAAGACCCCAAGTTCAGTATTTTTTTTTTTTTTTTGTGATTCAGTGAGTTTGTAAAGACCTTATTTTGTTCTAACCGATTATTTTTATTTTAAGAAACTTTCCTTCCTTTCTATTTTCAAATTCCTGCCAGAATGCAAATTTAAATGACATATATGCAAATCTATGTGAGTTCAGAAATAGCATTTAAGAAGCAGATTTTAAGAGCTCATAGTAGGAGAGCTAAATCTGAATTTATGCTGCGTGTTTGAAAGGTAGCTTCATAATTGAATAGTTGCTAGCCCCTTACTTTAGATTATATTGATAATCTAGGCTCAGCTGCCAGTCGTGTAGCTAAACTAGTTTACTGAAATTGTACATACTATTTTCTGTTCAAGTTACTCAGCCACAAGTAGTGGTTAAGTTTGTGAGCAATGAGTGAATGCATTTTTTGTTCTGTTTAGTTAAAATAACAAGGTTGTTATAAACTTCCTCTGCAGTCATCCGTTCTTCTAGTGAGAATTCGCTACTTTTACTGGAGATGCATTCGGGCAAATAGACATGCATCTGTTGAGCAACAGACTGCCGAGATGAACCAAAGGACTACCGACAGTGTGTACTCAGCAACAGTTCAGAGAACGCTGCCACATATGGGCCTTCTCAACAAACACTTGGTTCATATGCTTATGCTGACTTGTTCACTGACGACGAAGACTGAAATTTGTCCACCAGTACAACCGGACGTTCACTGACTAGCGATAGGTGGCTTTTCCAATGAATCACATTTTATACTCCATCGGAAAGATGGACATTGAGTTATACAGCATGAAACCTATGAAAACAAATACCCTGGAACAATTCCTGGAAAGAGCCAAGCTAGAGGAAGGAGCATTATGGTCTCGGGAATGTTTTCGTGGCATTCTCTAGTTCAACCCATCATTGTAGAAGGCGTGATGGATCAACAGAAGTATGCATCTGTTCTGGCAGACATGGTCCTTCCCCTTACATGCAGATCGATTTTTCTCAGCATGATCAGCATTTTCTCAACACCAGGATGACAATGCAATGTGTCATACAGCTCGCAATGTACGTTCAAGATTTGAAGAGCACCAGGATGACCGTACTCCCTTGGTCACCAGGACTTCCCAGACTTAAACCCAATCAAGAATCGACGAGACTACCTCGACAGGTTATTCGCACTATAGATCAATCGTGCAATCTTGACACTGGAATAGACATGGCTACACAACCTTGTGAGTACCTTTCAGAACCTCACTGACTCACTCTCTGCAGATCTTGCAGCTATCCGTATTCAGAAAGGTGGTTATTTTGGCTTTTGACAGGTGGTCACATTAATGTGACTGGACCGTGTAGTTTAAATATTAAAGTTAACATCTGCTTTATTAAATGAAAAATTAATTATTGGGAAGGAATTTGATTGTAAGAACTTGTGTGAATAAAACTTAATTTATCATTTAAGTGGTCTATTTCGGTACAGATATTTTTGGTTTTATTAATTTGATTGATTACTGTGTTGCTAATAACTTTTGATAAGCTGGTATGCCAATTAATTAGCTTAATAGCAGTAAATTTAAATTCAGTTCTTTTATCGCAAAGTTTAATTTTATTGTATTGAATAATTTACAGATCAAGAAAATCTATTTCTTGTTCACTTGTATTAGTTTTCAGTGTTAAGGAAGAAGGCTACATATGAAATTTCTCAATAGTTCCAAAATTATTGAAAGTAATAATATCGTCTATGTACCTGTAGGTATTGGCAAATAGTTTTAAATAATCCAAAGACTTCTGAAAATGGATATTCTTTTGTTAATAAGTATAAATTGCAGACTTATGAAGATAAATTAGTGTCCATAAGGATAAGGTTGATTCATTTTAAAATGTAGTCATTAAATTTAATATAGCTGTGAGAAAGCATGTAATGGAAGAAATCTTTCTATTTGTCTTTTGTTAAAATAGTAAGCGTTTCAGGAAATAAATCTGGAAGTAGTAGCAGACTGCTGTTAATTTCTTTCAAAAGGAAGAATAGCATAGAGGTTTCAAAATCAAAGCAGTTAATTTTTTGAATTTTAAGATTTTTAACTGCTGAAATAACAGGGAGGTTATTGTTGATAATCCAAAAGAAAGTGTGATCTTGGTTAACTGAACTAAAAATAATGCAACAAATTTTTTTTAAAGTTGAATTACAAATAAATAGTCAATATTTTACTTATAATTTTTGTTACCATTCACTGTAAATAGGAATTTAAGTGGTTTCGTAGACAATTTGGGAAGAGCACATAGGTTAGATAATTTGTTGCAGTCAGGTGGAGAAGAAATTTTAAGTTTGTGGTTAAAGACTTTTAGTTCACTGATGATGAGAGCTTCTTTGCCATTTGTTTTTGGTAGATAATAAGCTGATGAAGTTCAATTTCAATTATTTGGCTGTAAAAGTGTTTTCACATGAAACTGAAATCACTGCTTGTTTTATGTATATATTGTATATGATTATAATAACAGTAAATATCCTCTTAATTTCCAGCATTCTGTACTTAAGTGCACTCATTTAAATTTCTTGTAAATTCAGTTTATTTATTCTCTTCTTAATTTTATAAAAACCTCTTCTTTCCACTCTAAAAATACATTACTATGAGAACTGAGTTTATATGCTGTTTTAATTAAAAGTTCATTCAGGTTATTTTCAATACTGTTGAGGCTGTAGTTCTTGCTGATCCTTTGTACTGGTCTGAATTTAGTTCCAAGTTTCATTAGAACCTTTAATTGAAGGTCATTCATTGACTATGTCCAAACTGTACGTGATTATGGTGATCATCAACATCAGGAAGATATCCAGATTCCTGGCAATATCAAATTACTTTAGTATCATTCATAAACCAATTGCTTGAAGTCTTTTGATATTAAAATGAAAGAATTATTATTGCATTCACTGTAGGGAAGACGAATTGATATTCTTGTAGATATTAAATTTAATTTTGTCAAATTCAGGTTGTAAGAAGTTGAAGCAGTAAAACTTGGAGTCAGTATTCAGACTGGAACGTCTATAATTACAAAAAATCCAGTACTAGATCCATAATGATATTAGGGTCCCTGCATAGGTGGTTTGGAATTTTTTTATTTGAATTAAGAATTTGTTAAAACATGTTTGCATCTAATTAATTAGTTTTTTTGGTAAAATTAGCTGAATTTAGAAGTTTGTCTAAGGAAGATTGAAGTCTCTTTTGATCAAATTGTAGGCTGAAATTTATTTTGTAGTTTATTTCCTCTTTATATATATGTAATAGAAACAAATTTAGAAGTAATGAACAGCAGGAATTTTGATGGCATAGAAATATTAATCCATAATGACTAGGAGACTGGCAGCTGAGACCCATTAAATCTTCGTTTTATTTTCAGTAAACGTACTGCAGCCACAAATACCATGACACATTATTTGTTCCTATTTCAAGAGGTTTGCATTTTTGATAACTTTCCAGCAAGAAGAAATCAGCAGACAACATTCCAGTTAGGCTGAAGGGTAGTGAACGAGTGCGTTATGTTCATGATGAAAATTTAATTCAGAGTGAGTTAGTTTTGGTTCTCAAAGCATCTTAATTGGATATTTAACACAGTTGTAAAATTATTATTGGCTATCTGAGTTTTAGTTCCATTTACATCATCAGAATTATGCAAGAATGATATGACATGAATTAGTCTTGAAATGACACAATGCAAATACATTCCTATTTTTAGAATAAGCTGCTAATTTAAATTATAATTCATCTTATATATATATTTTTTATTTTCCCTACACACACACACACACACACACACACACACACATATATATAAAATAAACACACATAGTATTTTTGATAAGTTGTTGCTGTAGTAGATGCATAACGAATAAACATGCAATCACGGTTGATTTAAATATTTCTTTTTATTTCTCGTTAGCCAAACATTTTAATAAGTAAACACAGATAAATGGGCTTTATAACAGTACCTGTTCTTGAAGAACTACATCAATAAAGATTATAATTTTGAAATAGATTGAAAGTAGCAGGCATTAGTAGGTCTAGCTAGCAACAGAAGTAGAAAGAAAGTGCAATCTGTTAAAGATGAAATCTCTCAGTCAGAAGGAAATGGCTTCAGTTTTCATTTAATTTCCATTGGTTTATTTAGATACTAAAATTATTATTGGCTGAAGCTTTGTGCAAATTAACTGTATCATAAGCATTACGAAAGACTCATGACAGCAAATAATTTTGAAATGATGCGGAGGTTTGTTATAGGTAGTTACTATTTTTAGGACAGAAAGAGGAAATCATAATCAAAAGCCACTATTTTGATTTACGTAATTTTTATTTTATATAATGTGCTACTTTTTACAAAACTGAAAAGAAATTAAAATAGAGAATTAAGCAACAGTTAGTAATTAAAATTTTGATTTATATGTTTCTTATAATCCAGCAATTTTCATCATGTGTCTATCATTTCAATGCCAT